CCTCCCTTTCCTTCCTTTCCTTCCTTTCCTTCCTTCCTTCCCTTTTTATAGGATCGCATGGCCCATTATTGCCTTTACCAAGTCGTTACAGAATGGGCTCTCGAGATACACCTGAGCTTGTTGCGTATCCATTACCGCAGGCTTCTTCCTCTTATATGCATGGAGGAAATCCCTCTGGCTCAGTTGTAATGGTTAGTGGATTACATCCACTGAAAATGAATTGTTCAAGAGTCTTCAACCTATTCTGCTTATATGGAAATATTGAAAAGGTAAGTTTCATGTTATATTGGTTTTTTTTGCTAAGATAATGTAGTAAGAAAATCTGAAAAGGCAGCAAATACATGTTTTGTCCTTGAATTAGGAACTACCAAGGTTTTTTAGTAGTGACCCACACGAGCTAAAAACTCACTAAGTAGGACCTCTAGAAATTGTTTTTTGTTGATAAGTTATTAGTATAGGTTGTTGCTACTAAAGATATTTTTTAAATAACTAATATAAATAGAAATCTAAAACAGTTGAATCAATTACTAGAATATTTTAAGTGCAAATCTTACTTTTTATCATTTCAAAGAGATTCTAGCACTTAACATGTTAAACTGTGGAATTTGAAAGAGTAGTAACTTTCATGGAGCTATGTATACATATAAACATGCCTCAGGCCTGGCCACAAATCATGAGTCTTAGGAGAGTCTAGATTTATATAATTGCCTCCCAAGTGCTAGAGTTCTTGTATCTTCTAATGAACAATGTGCTTTTAGCTTCAGCGGTGTCTGAAACTGACCCACTTTGACAAAATGTGTCCAGAACTTTGGAGGCTTATTACTTAAAAAGAGCAAAACATTTGAATTAAACATATTTTGAAGATCTTTAAAATTGTAACCTTATTTTCACCCCATAACTTTGTGTTTTCCCCAGATCTGTGATATTTTGTTCATTGGTAATCTTACAAATACTGAGGATAATCCTTGTCACAAAGTAGATGTTAAACTACTTTTGAAAGAATCATGGGAAATTTAACTGGGGAAATGATTGGTAGTCTTAAATTACTAATTGTTTGATACACTTGCTAATTTGAGTTTCAGTATCGTAGTCATGATGTTTTCCTGTTGTTTTAAGTGATTTTTAGTGTTCTTTTCACAACAATAAAAAAGTATAAGTATGTGAGTCTCTTGGTACTCTTAGTTCGTATTTTAATTTTAAAGCCTCCTTGATTTGAGGAAGCAGCTTGGAAAAAATCTCTGAAATAAGAATTTCCTCAACATAACTATTTGACCACATTTTTTTAATAAAGAAAAAATTCATATTTGGTCTAAGGGATAACATGGGATATTTCTACTTATATAACTAGCCAGGACTACATGGGACAGAGTTAGCAACATGGGGAAAAATAGTTCAGATTTTTTTCATACAGACAACTGGGTGTTTAGTTAAGGTCTAGGAGCCTCATGCTTGATAACTAAAAGGGCTTTAATGTGAATTTTAACCTTCTTTATGTAGTGTTACTTTTCTATTTGTGCTTTTCATATTTGTAGATAATCAGAATCAGTTTAATCAACATCTTTAGTAGATCTTTGTCTCTGTGTTATGAACTAATTATCTTATGATTTAGAAACCAAATCTCTTTGTCTAATAAAACTTAAGTTTTCTGTATATTATTTGAACAATTCTAGTCTCTCACTCCACATCTCAGAAATGTTTGATACATTAAACTCAAGCCATCATATCCTTAAAATATCTCTATATAGTTCATTTTTCCTAACTTCTTTTAAATATATATATATTTTTTAATTGATTTCAGAGAGAGGGAGGGAGAGAGAGATACAAACATCAATGATGAGAGTCATTGATTGGCTGCCTCCTGAATGCCCCCCCCCTTGGGGGTAGAACCTTGAACCCTAGACCCCTAGAGTTGAACCATGACCACCTGGTTCATAGGTCAACACTCAACCACTGAGCCACACTGGTCCGGCCCTAACTTTTTTTAAAGATTTACCAGCACAAGAACTACATACTTCACAGATAAACTTATTCACTATTAGATTTGTAGGACGTTATTAGATTTAATCAAGGGAGAGAAATTTTCCCCACAAGAAGATAATTGATTTAAAATAAAACTGAAGCCCTAGCCAATTGGGCTCAGTAGTTAGAGTGTCAGCCCTCGATTAAAGGGTCAAGGGTTTAATTCTGGTCAAGGGTACATACTTCATTTGCAGGCTTTGATCCCTGCCCCGGTCGGGGCGCATGGGAGAGGCAACCAATCAGTGTGTCTCTCTCACATCTATGTTTTTCTCTGTCTCTCTTCCTTCCTTTCACTCTCAATAAAAAATCAATGGAAAAAATATCCTCATGTGAGGATTAACAAAAAAAACAATGAAAAACAACTGAAAAGTCCTTTTACAGCTGAGTTTTGTTCAAGTACAGGTATAGTATAAAAATGCTAGGATAACCCACTAACAGTTGTAGTGGTGGATATAAATGCTGTGTTGCATTTGTTTTGTAAGTCCATTTCCAGTATTCAATATTTTCTTGAGGTTAACTGATAAGGAAGTATGTTCAAGATGTCATGGACATTAGTGGTACTTAATAGTTATTTACAGACTTTCCAAGGGGTAGGAAAATCACTGTGCCGAGTGATTTTCATACTTTATCCCCTCTAACCCTTATAGCATTTATACTAAAATTGGAGTAATATAAGAGGATATGTGGCATCTGCCCAAGATGTCATGAAAACTTATGGAGTATTGCCTATTTTTTAAACTACTACTACCTTGCACAAGCCTTTCTACTGGCAATGTTATCTCAAGGCCATCTTGTATTTCTTATATGGGATTTTATATATTGCTCTAACAGCACCCTGGATATTTGGTACTTATTACTTACTTTTAAATTTCTGACCTACCTACTAGAATATAAATCTCAAGAAGACCATGTCTGTTATGTTCACCATTAAATCCCCAGTGATTAGCACAGTGCTTATCAAAACATATTGGGCATTTAATAAATATTTGTTGAACGAATAAGTATTGAAGAGTCCTGTCAGATGTTGTTATCTCCATGTTGTAGGGGTGTCTGAGGCTCAGAGACATGAAGTCATTTGCTGTAGGTTCCACAATTGGTAAATAGCAGAGCCAGGGTCAGCCTGTGCTTTCCTGGAGTGCGCTCTACCTTATAATTGTGGTCTTCCTTTTTAACGAGGTTGAATTTTTATATGCGTTAAGTGTCTAATAGCATATCAGAATAAAGTTTAATATTCTAGGTGATCTGCATTTGACATAAACCACTTAAATCATATTATCTTTTATAAAAGGGAGCTAAATGGTCACCTTTTGGGGGTTTTGCGTTTACAGGTAAAGTTCATGAAGACCATTCCTGGTACAGCACTGGTAGAAATGGGCGACGAGTATGCGGTGGAAAGAGCTGTCACACACCTCAACAATGTCAAGCTATTTGGGAAAAGACTTAATGTTTGGTAAATATCTTACGTGGTAAATTTTAAAATCTTTATCCTTTTCATTAGAGATGTAATTTCAACGTCAGAATATTTTACTGTGACCGAGGGCACGTCTGAAACTAGCACCTATGGTATTGTTATTTTAGACAAAGTGTTAGGGTCATAAAATTCAGGTTTTGCTTACCTGTGCCTGGCTTTTAGTTTTATGATCATAAAACAGCATGTTAAAATGGGCATATTTATGTTAAAGTTTTCTCATTTAAAAACAGTCATAGATTTTTCTTTCTAATTGATGTCTAAATTATAAGAATGATTTAACTCAAACTAAATGTAAATATTTAAGCACATGTTCGAAATGTTAAATGTGTAAACTGTTTAAATAGCTATGTGTGCCTTTTTTGTTAAGGTTGGTGCCGGTATATATGTTAACATTCTGAGACTGCCTTACTTGCTTTTTATCTAACAAGGTATGTTCTGTACCTGTTTCCTTTCCAACCTTCAGTGTGTCTAAGCAACATTCAGTTGTTCCAAGTCAAATATTTGAGCTGGAGGATGGTACGAGTAGCTACAAGGACTTTGCAATGAGCAAGAATAATCGCTTTACAAGTGCTGGCCAAGCATCTAAGAATATAATCCAGCCGCCCTCGTGTGTGCTGCATTATTATAATGTCCCACTGTGTGTCACAGAAGAGACCTTCACAAAGGTGGGCGCTGAGATACAAATTTTGTAAAATGGTCCTCTTTTCTATTTTAAAATAGGTCATATTTTAGCCTCATTTTCAATTCTTGCTCTGTTCATCTGCTTTTGATATTATTAGTATTCTGTTCTATAGTTTATTCCTTGGCCAGCATACTTTTCTGGCCTCCCTTCTTCATTGGTCTTGTTTTGGTTTGTGGCACAATCTTTTTGAGAGTTGGAATTAGAATGAGATGCCCTTACTTCTGCATTCAGAAAGGGTTTTTTACTATGTTCTTAATTCTTACCCATACAAAATTTTTATAGCTCTGGCCTGTTTGGCTCAGTGTTTAGAGCATTGGCCTGTGGACTGAAGGCTCCTGGATTCAGTTCTGACCAAGGGCACGTTACTAGGTTACAGGCTCGGTCCCAGTTGGGGTGTGATTGGGAGACAACCAATTGATGTGTCTCTCTCACATCGATGTTTCTCTCTCTCCCCTCTCTCTGAAATGCAATGTAAAAAATATCCCCATGTGAGAATTAAAAAATAATAATAATAAATTATTTATCCCTGCCTTTTCCCCTAACTGTAGGAAATGCTTCAGAAGAGAATTGATTTTCTGGACTCCACTCCTATTGGTCATCCAGTAAATTCTGGTCAACTCTGAGAATACGTATNGAAGAGAATTGATTTTCTGGACTCCACTCCTATTGGTCATCCAGTAAATTCTGGTCAACTCTGAGAATACGTATTTCAGTTACAAATCTGTGGTTTTATTGTACAGCGCTAAATTATTTACATAGTTTGTAGAAGATTGCCATTTTTAATTGATTTTTCTCATACAGCTTTTTAATCTAAAAACATACTTGGTTTAATTCATTCATGTCAGGCTCAAAACTTAAACGCTGCCATAAAGTTTACTTTCTTTAAAGAGGTAAGAATATTATTTTGGCCATATTTTTAATGGAGTTTTACATTTCTTTAACAGTTGTGTAATGACCATGACGTTCTTACATTCATCAAATATAAAGTGTTTGATGCAAAACGTAAGTGCACACTCCCTCTTTTTAAGTTTTCTGGTTAAGTTGATGACAAGCAGATAACAACTGGATGTGTGATTCTTTGTTTTAGCTTCTGCCAAAACGCTCTCCGGGCTGTTGGAATGGGAATGCAAAACTGACGCCGTAGAAGCCCTTACAGCACTCAATCACTACCAGATAAGGGTTCCAAGTAAGTAGAATTGTGTTAACATGTGTCAGCCGTATATGAGAGTGCCCAGTGCCCAGCACTCTTGGCAACACTGAATGTAGTCAGATTTTGAATTTTTAAAAAATTTCTATCAAATGAAATAATCACAGTACTTACTCTCTCCATTTTGTGAAGGCCTCTTTTTTACTGTGTAAAGTATTTAACTTTTGAAGGTTTGTGCTGTGCAGTTTACTTTGATCCTGGACCTAAAGGCTGGTTAAAACTATTTTTCTAAATAGTGGGAGAAACATGATTAATTCCATGTGGTAGCGACTGGTAGTTAAGGGGGGGATACAAACTGAAGGATTTATGGGTGGAATAACATATCTAGAATTTGCTTTAAAATATCCCAGCTCTGCTGCGGTGTGTGGGGGCAGGGAGATGAGATGGCACTGTTGAGTATTGACAGTTATTGAGGTGAAGTGACACGTATGTGAGGGTTTATTACACTACTATATTTTTTTATGTTTGAAAATTTTTATAAGATAAATAAGTAGGACTACTCATTTTACTTCTAGTCACAAAAATAAATTTTAAGTAGTGAGTCAGGCTTAATTTTGTAGAAAGTTTTATTAAAGTATATATGAGATATATGCAAGGTAGTGTGTGAATTGTAAACTTTGTGGAGACAGGTATAGTTATTTGTGTTTTGCCCTCTGCAATGTCTTGCAAATACTTATTGATATATACACTTTTTCCTTTAATCATTTTTTTCCCCCTTATGGAACTATAACTTTGAAAGCTAAAATTCTGGTACACTAAGATACCAGAATTGTTTCTTTGCATAATCAGTTGATGAAGAGTTACCTCTGCTTGGTCTGAAAGTTAAAGAAAAATGCATGAAATGGAAGTATTTTTGTGGATTATACCCATTTTTTTCCAGCTAATTGATATCTTCGTGTGCACTCCAGTCTGGTCCCACTTCCCAAACTATATTTGAATTGGTTTTTGTAAAGGAGTTACCATCGGTAATATTTTCTGCAAAGTGAGCTTTTGCTCGTAGACATAGGCCTAATCCTGATACTATTTATCTGTAATGATTAAGTCACTTAAAAAAAAAGTCAAGTGCCTTGGGTGTGTCAGATAATGTTTAGCACAGTAGGAATGCAGCAGCAGTCCCTGGGGACAGTCCCTGGCTTCATGGAGCTTACCTACTTGTAGATAAGAACAAAAGTAGTCTTCCCTTTAACCTTACATAGAAATGTTCCTTCTTTATATTCCTGCTTCTAATACTGTAAAAAGGTGAAATAATTTACTCTGCTAATTCAAGGTAATCTTGAAAGTTTGAACAAGTGAACTATTAACTTTGTTTTTAATTTTTACAGATGGTTCCAATCCCTACACGTTGAAGCTTTGCTTTTCTACATCGTCCCATTTATAAGAAGAAAGAGCATGTTAGAACTTACGTTCACATTTATTACAATTTTAAAGCTATTCTTCATTTTAAAAATCTAAAAATCGGATGTTGCCTTGCTTACTTTGACTTAAGATCCTGTTCTGTAATAAATATTTTGCCTTGAGTAAATTTGTTGTAAACTACATACTGAATTGTTTTCATTTTAAAATAGAATGTCATAATGTAGACTATCTACAGCTTCCCTGTAGATTACTCAAATATATCATTTCTAATCTTATTATTTTTCTTCCACAGTGAAAATATATTTGCATTCTTGATGCTAATTATCTGCAAGTATTTTTCCATTGTGTATGAGATTGACGCAGGTGGAAGGATTGCATTTTAATACTATAGAATTCCTATTAAATGTTTAGATGTTTTAAGTATGTTGCAGTTATTCATAGTAAACATAACTTGTATTTATTAAGTATTTTAATCAAGTTTGAGAATAATGTTACACATATTAAATTTTAAGTACTACAGATTTAGCTGATTTTATATTTCTGAAAAGCTAACCGACATGGTACAGTGTACAGTATGCACTCAGACTTATTTAAATTGGTGTATTTTTTTTTAAGTCATTGTCCATTTGTATTGACATGCCTCTGTTTCTAGTTCCAGTTTGGAGATTTTATAAAGTTACAACAATGAGTTAATGTGTTCATCTTCATTGGTTGCATGTGACTTGATCTTGAAAACCTGTCTGGTATTTGGCATTGAGATTTTAATAGAAGTTATAATTAACGGTGTCTCTTCTAGATAATCTGAGATCCATGGATGGGCTTTAGGGAGTCTGTGAACCCCCTAAAATTGTATGTAGAATTTTGGGTACTTGCATTTTTATTTTTTACTCTTGAATCCATCAGTAATATATGTATTTTTCTATATGGTGCAAGGTATAAGGATCTAATTTTATTTTTATTCCAAACAGATAGCTATTTGTTTCAACACCATTTATTAAACATTCTTTCTCCCAGTGGATCTGTTTCCCCCCCCGCCCCTTTATTTGGAAAATAATAAGTCTCATACATAGGCAAGTAAGATAGAAGGACGAAACATGGGATTACCAGACCATAGCACACTTGTTACCAACATCACAGCTTACTTATAATAGAAAATCGATAGTGATTTAATTTTCATCTTTAAAAGAATGGAGAATGTTTCATCTACCTACAATAACTGTGAAGTCTGTATAGTTGGCAATAGTAGTTTTGTGATCCTGAGACTTTTAAACAAATTTGCATATAGAAGTTGCATTTAGATCTTTTCTAAAAGCTGTATTTTGAATTTTACCACTAAAAGAAGGCAGTTTCCCATAATCTTTTTAGAAATGACATGGGTGTAAAAAAAATTTAAGAGCTGTTGAATAGAAAATTTAGATAGAAACTAAACACATTAACATTTATTTCCTCTTAAATTTTGACAACAGTGGACCCCAGTATTCCTTTAGTCCTCTAAAGATCTAGAAAAATTTAAGTTCAACTTAGAACAGCAGTTTTCGACCTTTTTCATCTCACAGCACACATAAACTAACTAAACTCTATGGCACACCAAAAAATATATTTTTTGCCAATCTGACAAAAAATGGGTATAATTTTGATTCATTCACACTGGACGGCTATTGTGTTGGCTGTTGTCATTTTTAAATTTGACAATCTTAGGGAAAAGAGGTCAGTGCCCCTGACTAATTAGGTATTGCATGTTTTAAAAATTTGTGCAGCACACTGGTTGAAAATCGCTGATCTAGAAGCATTTTAGACCCTTATGGAATCCAGTAAGTTACACCAAGGGTAACTTGTGTATGAACTGTTACAAGTGTATGATACTGGGCTGTGTATATCCCTCACTCAATGCCAATTTGAATTTGATACCTAAGTTTACCTAACTTTACAATAAACAAAGCTTTTTTCTCCCCCCTGTAAATACTTTTCTTATAATACTATAAATACATTTGTTGCAAAATTGAGATCTTAGTTTTAAAAGGTAACTTGTGAGTTTATGTAAAGTTGTCTCTTTTCCTTCCCCTCCTCTGAAAGCTAGTATGGATGGGTGTCAGTGTTATGGATTATTTTGTGCCTCAGATTCTGGGAAACCCGTGAATGATGACAAGGCCTACTTACTTTAGGTTGGCTTTAAGTGGTATTGACTTGTAGATATGAACTCTGTCTTAACGGTCTGTCCTCGCCACCAAGTGGCAAGTAAACGTCCTTCAGGAGTAAACTGTAAATTGGGTCTTCCTAATCTATGCACTGGTATGTCAGCCCTGGACTGTTGTTGTCAGTAATTTCTTCGACAGTTTATTTGGACGTCACCACTATTAATGGAGTTTGCTTTGGCAACACTCCCTCTTAGCCTGAATAATGTTCTTCCCTTTGCTATCTTTCTGCTTTTAGGAGAACATGAAAGAGCAGATTTTATAGATGTAAAAAAATAACTTTGAGTGTAGTTTTTAAATATTGAAATTCCATTCCATATCCAATAAAATATTTGATAATAAATTTGCCAAACTGAGTTATGGAATGTAAGCTGCTCTTTAAAGTTCATTGCTTTTTCCTGAAACCTAGCATTTCCACCAAATGGGTTCAGGTGTTAATTAAAACCTGATGTATTTTAGTTCAGCTAGTCACCTTCCTAGCCATCTCAATTTTAACATGCTTTGAGCTTGAACAAATAAAGTAGACTTTGCTTTACTAGTAAAAGCTTCTTCAACATGAAGCCCTTTATCTGAGGGAGCACTTGAAATTCTCTTAGTTTTAATTTATGAATGAGGAAGTTAGGAATTGTGGCTAATTGCCTCTTACCCTCCATTCCACCTCCCCCGGTTTTGTAGAGTAGTCTAGGTTTGAGTGAACCTGACAGACTTAGTCTCCTCCCCCCCCTTTGGGGAACATTTTGATAGTTTATTAGGGATGCTTTTTCCCCAATTTGGAGGATACTACAAATATTTGATGGGCAGGGACCAGGAAGAATTGTCCTGTGTCTCCTACAGGAGTTCCCAGTGTCCCATCAAATAGTAATGTATCCTAGAATGTAACACTGTTTGTGTATCTAAATACGAAGTATTTTTTGTGTACAGTACACTGAATTTTCTAGAAATGCAACCACCTTGTAAATCAAGTAAAGATGATTGTTTAGAGAATTTTCAAGAGATGTTCACCACTTTGGAAAATTACATCATAAAAGTGATATTTGAGTTGACATTACAATATATCAGGGTCACTATTCATTTGTAGCATTCACGTTAATTTATGTCTAATATTGTAGCCATCGCTGAGCATTTGTGTATCACAATGCATTTTCTTGTAAATTTTATTTCTCCTTTATATTAGGGTTTTATTTTTTTCTTCAAATTGCGTGTGTGTGTATAAGTGGGTTGGTAGTATACCTGTCTAGGCATATTATTTCAGCATAATAAAAGGGTGTCAGATTATTTGGGTTGGGAACCATTGCTTTAAACAAAGTCATTTGGTTCTGGGTTGAACAGATAAGCCTAGGTTGATCCAAAGACAGTGAAGCCAAGGATTTGTTGAAGAATGGGTGAGGAGATGCTCTCCCAAGGGGGTGTGGTTTGTCTGTGTGAGGTGGGTCTGTGACTGCTGTTGTCATTTGCTATTTCAGAAACAGCTGGCAGAGAAAAAATGGTACACGGAAGAGGGTAGAACTAAAGGCGCCCGGATTTAGATGCGTTCGTCAACCACTGTGGGCATAGACTAGTTTGACCATTTCATGCTTAGACTTCTGTCTTCAGAGTTCCCTTTTCAGTGATAATTCATGGCTCTATTTTAAGAATCTATGGTTGCCTAAATCTCACCTTTAACTCACCATTCTAATAGACAAACAATCATCAAATGAAAGAGCATTGGGAATTGACAGGAGGCACTATTTTTAAACCTGAAATGTTTATCTTTTTGCCAGTCTTAGGCCTGTGAACCCATCTTATAGTCTCATAAAGTTTAAACAGGTGGAATATTTCTGGACCCTTTTCTATACTGAGAATATTCTGTCTAGATTTGTTAATGACTCCCTTTATTTTCAAGAGTAGAACACATACATACTCAAAAATTCTATTGTGTAACTTAAATCCTTTTATGTAAATTATAGGGAGCTGTCCATTGAATTAAGTAGAAGCATTGAATGAGTGGCGTTCCTGATTTGGAAACATACATAATCACATAGGCTGAAGCTGCTAGACAACCTTGGGATGTTTGCTGTGAGTTAATTTGGTAATTTGGTTATCATTTCTGGTTTTGTTTTTTTCTACCCAGAAATAAATACCAAGAGAAATCAAGAGCAATATTGCGCCATTCTGGGGAGTAGTTACGGTTTATTGAGAGCCTGGAAAATCAGTAAATGGCTCGAAAGATTATGGTTCCTATATTTTAGAGCAGCTTATTAGGTAATACTAGTGGGATGGTTTGGGGGCTTGCTACTCAGATTACAATTTATGATTGTGAAATTTAGGTTATTAAGATGATTTGGGGGTGTGATTTTATTTGAAATACCTTTTTCTCAGGACGGTAGGAGAAAATAAAAGTCATGGTAGATAATGCTTGTGTTGCATAGTAATATTTAGCAGTGATTCTCAATGGCTAGAAAAGAGGGTTTTGGGGGGTGGGGTGGGGATAATTCCATCAGTATAAACTAGAATCACGTGGGGAGCTTTTAGAAAATACTGATATCCTACACCATCGGCAGATTTTATTTTTATTTTTTTCATGGGAGAGGGCTCCAGGGGGGTTAAAAGGATGGCTAGTGGTTTTGGGGAGAGGCCCAGGCAGAAGCCAGACCCCAGGGGGAGGCAGGGGGGCCCTCGGCGGCCTCTGGGCTCCAAAGGCTCCTCGTCTGCCTGAGGGGAGCCTTTGGGAGACTCGCCGAGCCCAGCCCGGGGCCGGCCGCGGGTCAGTCAGGTGTCGCCCGTCTCCTGAGGGGTCCC